TTGATGATGCATTGGGATTATTTATGCAGGTATCACATCATAGTTACAGTCCTGGTCTACGTGCTGCCTCTAGCAGTGATGGGTGTCACTTATACCATTGTTGGGGTGTCGCTGTGGGGAAGTGAGGTCCCYGGAGACTCRTCAGATAACTACCATGCACAACTCRGTGCAAARAGGAAGGTACGTYATTAAATATGAACTTTTTTKGTWATATACTGTATCTGTTGWCAAGAAATGTACAATCTTAAGTTGCTTGGCTGTGACATCATTACTAACAGCTTTAGTTGTTAAAAACAAATTATTGTGATGATGTGCAAACTTGAAGATTTGAGTGCTATTAGTTTCCGACAGCCACATACAGCAAAGAAGTACTGGTTTGATTTTCTACATTTGTGTACTCTTCATCTTCATTTGATGAAATGCAGATTTGGCATCATCCAGATTGCACAGAGTGTTTTATAGAGGCTTCTCTGTCTGCTGCACGAGGATTAAGAACGTCACAGCTGGGATGATGAGCATCAATAAAGACGGGTCGAGGATTAAAATAACATGAGGTTCATTGATAAAAAAAAAAATCTGAAATATCAGAGTAACATCCCAGATTATTTGATCGACATGAAATTCTACAAGGTTCAGGGTTGTGATGTGAATTATTCATTGACTAAAATATATATAGTGTTTGGATTTTAACAAACTCTTGTGTCAGCTTTAAATTAGGCTTTTTGACAAAAATTTAAATTCATGTTAAACAGAAACTGTAATAAGTTGACTGTTCGTCATCTTTAAAGGTCGTCATCAACAAAAGCAGTCATCAGTGGCTCCAATTTCTGTTGTGGCCCTGAAGATAAAAATAAAATTTAAATGTCATGAAAACACAGTGTGATCTAAAAGGTCAGGTATGGAGATAAGAGGAGGTCGCCCTCGTCTTGGTTTGGATGAAGAGAAAGCAAATCTTCTGCCTTCAGCCTCCTGCAGCTCTGCATTGTTCTGTAACACCGACAAGTTCTGTCGTCCATCTGACTCTGGACCTGCTGAGTCCGGTGCGTCATCGCTGACCTTTACCTGTCGTCATAAAATAACAGCAACTCTGCTCTCACTGAAGGGAAAATATGATGATGAGTGTAAAGATAAATGATCAACAGCCTTACAAAGTTTGTGACACCAACACCGAAAAAACAACCTTTAAAGGTGCWCAATGCCAAAAAATTATACTCAGATAGAAAATCATACAGTAATAAATGAAATCAACACGTWTATTTTTCTCATTTTGATGGTTAATGTTTCCAAAATTTTAAAATATGTAAACAAATTTGTGACCAGCTGCCWAATAAGTACCACATGTATTTGTTTGCCTACAGAAAGAGCCTAAGTGACTGAAAATAGGTCAACACTTATGACGTCGCATGGAAGAGTCRTTTGTGATTAAGAAGTCTGACAATTATTGAATTTTAAAATGGATCCTAAAATGTACAGGCAGCCATTGGAGCAAATATAAAATCAGGGAAATCAGCTCATGTTTATCAGTGAAAAGTCATTTGCACCCTCTGCAGGCGTGCCATCGGAGGCGCCACTAACCCACAGATTAAGTGAGCTAAAGTAATCCAGTTGAGTGGTAGCAAAGGCATGGATTACCGTCTCAAAGTGCCTTCTTGGAAAAACGGGTTTTACTTTGGCCAGCTGCCTCAAATGATGGAAACTCCTTCCAACAACTGCTTTAATGTGATTGCCCAATTTGAGCTCCTGATTCAGTTCGACCCCCAAATTCCTGACAGTCAGTTTGCTGTACTGAGCTAAGGAACCTAAATCCACTGGAGCGGGCTCAGTGTCTCCAAAAACCATCACCTCGGTTTTATCCTCGATCATTCATAACACTTGCTAGTACTTAACTTGTGGATTATTTCTTGACAGTGTGTTCATGTYGCTTTAAATGGTTTGTTCCAAACACACGAGACATAACAGGAAGTTCCACAAATGGTTCTCAGTACTTCTTTTGTTGGTGGCTTCCTTCTGTCGGATGCAGTAGCAGTTTCTAATATGTGACACATCATATCGAAATGAGGATTAAGTCAAATTATGTGAATTTATTGAGTCATTCAATATAAAGAGGAAACCTTAAATGTTATTTGTATGTTACGATTTTCCATTTGGAAAGAAACAAAAACATAGCTCACAGGGAAAAATACAAAGTTTTAAGGTGTTTTTCCTCAAAGTCATTTTTTTGTTCCTACTGCTAAAAAATGCTTCAAGAAATTTTTTTAGGATTATATTTTAGATAGTTCATTTAAATGATACTTTGATAAGGCATTAATTCATGATATTTTGACAAAATACCATTTTTGCACACATTTAAATCAAAACACTATCTGCCTGTTTCTCCACCTTCCACTTTTGGACTTAATCCTCACTTTGATGTGATGGGACACATATGGTTGAGGTGGGCAGTTGAACAGGGCAGCATCTCGCCAAGGGTGGCCCACCAACCCCGTTGAAAAAGAGCATTATTTCATATATCCTAACCTACCTATAGTCCACCTGCGGGGAGTGGGCGCCCTCTGCAGGTAGTGCATGCTTGCTGCTGAGGGCTGACACATACGGGGGGTGTGGGCACCGCTGAGGTTGTTTGCTCAGGGCAACAAAGAGGCTAGGTCCGCCCCTGGTCAGATGTATCAAATATTCTGCTTTCTCTCCTTCCTCCTGCAGGTGGTAAAGATGATGATCATTGTGGTGGTGACCTTTGCCCTCTGCTGGCTGCCGTACCACGTCTACTTCATCGTAACAGGTCTCAACAACCGCCTGGTGAAGTGGAAGTACATCCAGCAGGTTTACCTGTCAGTGCTGTGGCTGGCCATGAGCTCCACCATGTACAACCCCATCATCTACTGCTGCCTCAACAGCAGGTGGGTGTAAATCTGTTCAACTTTCAACCTTCAGCACGGCAGCAGGCTGACGGCTCCGGCCTTGTTCTGCAGGTTCCGGGCCGGATTCAAGCAGGTTTTCCGCTGGTGCCCCTTCGTTCGAATGTCAAGCTACGATGAGCTGGAGCTCCAGAACACGAGACTTCGRCCGTGTCACCAGAGCAGCATGTGCACCCTGTCTCGAGTCGACACCAGCATTCTGAGCAAAAACAAAAGCATCTGTTCTCGAGGACACATGTCCAAAGGAAACCCTGAGCAGAAGGATAAAGATGGATAGGCTCCACGTGGCTGATAAAAAAAAAAACTGGGTTTATTTTATTTATGTGTTTAGGTTGTCCTGATGTCTATGAATTACTGTTTGGTTTGGTTAACGTAGATAAATCTGGACGTATGCGATTTTTCCAGAATAATGTCTTCAGACTGAAAGGCACGACTCAGGAAACAGGAAAACTGCAGAAGGAATGCAAGGGAGGATGCCTGTGAAAATGATTATCSTAATGGATTGCAGTGTTCAGAAACAACAGAAAGTTAAGTAAATGTGGTTATGCTTTTAGGCTGTTTGAGTAGAGCTGGCATAGTGGTCCAGTGGCAGCTCAYTAAGTCCTGAAGTACGGCAAATCAAGTCTTAAAACACGTAATGAGAGATGGATCGTTTCATTTTTGAGGGACGTTTGGTTCTCAAATTAAATGTCCATATTTTCAGTTTGAAACTCCATCCTCCTCTTTATCAGAACTGATCAAAAAGTTTACTTTTTTAATAAATTGCTGATATGACATTTAATTCCTCTGATAGTTTAAAATCAAAACCGCTTGAAGACGATTTTGGACACATTTTGAATAGCAAGTTTGCAAAAAAATAGAAACAATCAGGATACTTGTCGCTTGGTGCAGACATGAGATTAAATGCAATATATGCTATATAATGTTTATAAATTATCAATTTAGAAGAGAAAAGACAAGTTTTTGGATGGATTTACAAGAAATCTTAGAATGTTTTAAGATTCATAATTAGCGAGAAGTGAAGAAATCTACTCTCTGATGTCGACATTTTTGTTCTCCTTGGCGCTTTRAGTCATATCTCGACATAAGGTCTGAGCAGAACATTTTTTAAGTGGTATGCTAGAGGGGCCTCTGTTTCTCACTTCCCTGTTTGCTTTTGGGGTGGGGTTAAAATCTACAACAGTGCTTTTTACAAATATTTTTGCCAGAAAAGGAAAATATATTCACAAATATTTCTTCATATTAGCTCTTTAAAAAATCCAGCACATCCGCATTTTTAAACAGTGTTTAATCAACAGTGACATTAATGTTAAAATAAATTGCTCTTTTTACTGCTATAAGAGTCATTTTTATTTGTATACTTGGTTTTAATTCATGTGTTTGATTCAGATTCATTCTCAAGTCACAACATGGAAAACTGGAGCAGTAATGTTTCTGATCACCATTTTTTTAAATGCTTGACTTCTCAAACATGACAGAGAAGAAGTAACTTGTTGAGACATGAAGTGTTGGATTGAAATGAAAATTTCATTTTCTAGGGCTTATATACAAGACTTAAACAGAGACACGTCACTGACTGTGAAGATTTTAAAAACTCAGAATGATCAAGCTGATAATCACAGCAGGTTCAACTTTAGTTTTAATATTTCTTCTTCATTTGCAAAAAACAAAAACAAAACAAACAAAAAAAAAACAAGAAAGAATCCATGAAACTTAAAATCTCACATGTAAGAGTGTCTTGCCGAGATATGCAGCAGCTCAAACCACTAAAATCCAAATCACACGTAAAGGTAAAAGCACTATACGTCATTAAAAAAATCATCAAACCAACAATAGTAAAAAAAACAACTAAAAGGAGTCAAACAAAACTGTGTGCAGCAGGTGTCAGAATGAGTAACAAAACTCTTCAGTCAAAAACATTTACACTCAGATATTTGTGTCTAAAGTTAAGATAAAAAAGCTGAACTTTCAAAATGCAAAACTAACTAAGTTCAYTGATTTTCAAAGTTCAGAAGAGCACAGTTGACAAATCAGGAAGTTCGTATTGCTTTTCAGCAACAAATCTATTCCCCATTCACTTGCAGAGTTCATTTATTTATAATCTGAAATTTGCACAATCATGAAACCACTTCTGTTAACGCCACCGTGATGAGGTCAATGATTGGTTTTGTTGTCAGAACAAAAGAAGCTGAAKGATGAGTTATTTGTCAGCATTTTGTTATGAACTTCATTAACTTCCTGACATCTTTCCAAACTATTTGAATATTATGAAAGCAAAATCAAAAAGTATATTCATAAACAAATCTAAAAATGCAGAGGAAAGAAAAAAACTTTATTTGAAACTATTATTAATTATTTGGTAGTTATACATGAAAGCTGAAAACCCAGAGTTGTGTTCTCTGGTTTCAGTGATTCTGAGATAAAATCATTTTTGTCAAACATACCAAGAAAAAGGAAGTGAGGCCACAAGCAGAGGAACAAACAACTGGGTGGAGATGACTGCTGCGGACCTGAGAAAGAAAAAGGAAAAGAAGAAAAAAAAAGAAAGAGTGATTAGAGAACATGATTAATAGCAAACCAGGGGGTGGTTGTAGCTTCAAGAAATGTGTAACAACCCACCTACACCTGCCAATCATTGTTTAGTTACCTGTATGAGTGCTCCAAAATGAGCAAAGAGAAGATGCCCTGCAGTCTATGTCACACTGTTTTAAATGCAGTTGTAGGACCACAAGATAAAATGTAGTCCTAATTTAAAAATATTCTTCATTTCGTTTTTCTGCTAAAATATTCTGGAAGGACACCCATTCTAACTGCCCAATTACTGGTAACACTTAGGAAGTGGGAGGACACTAAAATGACTCACATCGGAACCAAGATTTGGGTTAAAATTCTCCCAATGTTGCAACCACACCCTAAACCCTACATCCTGCATCCTACATCCTGCATCCTGCATCCTACATCCTACATCCTACATCCTACATTCTATATCCTACATCCTAAATCCTACACCCTAAACCCTACATCCTACATCCTRMATCCTACATCCTACACCCTAAACCCTACATCYTACATCCTWCATCCTACATCCTACATCCTACACCCTAAACCCTACATCCTACATCCTACATCCTACACCCTAAACCCTACATCCTACATCCTAAATCCTACATCCTACACCCTAAACCCTACATCCTACATCCTTCATCCTACATCCTACATCCTACACCCTAAACCCTACATCCTACATCCTACATCCTACACCCTAAACCCTACATCCTACATCCTACATCCTACATCCTCTACAACTGATTGGTTTCAGCCAGATTCAGGGTAACCTCCTCAACAATTAGCTGTTGTGCTTTAACCCCGACACATTTTTGTTCCTTTAAATGTTGATTATTGTGCACAGTCCTTTGAAATAAACAGATGAAATTAATCAAACTTCGCCAACACAAAAACTGGCATAACTCATTGAATTTACTATTATTGAGCAAAAATATGGTGTAGCTGAGAGTCTATCTCACCACAAAGTCTGAGCACCATCACAGCACACAACATTTTCTCTTGAAACTTTACATTTAGGGAAACTTTCCTTKAAGGCGACTGGCAACATGTTTTTCTTTCAAGAGTGCACACCATTCATTTCACTTTTAATYATCCTAAGAAGACGGTGGAATTAAAAATCAAGATTTATTAGGTTTTAAGTAAATGCTACTGTTGGCACTGCATGGTTGGTAATTCTAGGTGTGAGAGTGAATGGTTGTTTGTCTTGTTTGTCTCTGTGGCYCTGTGATGGACTTGTGACCTGTTCAGGGTGTACCCCGCCCCTTGCACTGTAACTGCTGGATGTGGGCACCAGTGACCGCCGTGACACAGAAAGGATGAAATGGATAGATGGATCTGACACTAAACCGATTTGTAACACTGTAAATGTCAATGAGACAGACTTGATGAAAGACTAAGAGTTGTTTAAAACTGGTGAGAAATTCTAAATCTGATCAATGAAAAAGAAGCAAGTCTTACCTTGGGAACATGTAACAGTTGTGGGTGCTGTTCACGCTGTGATGATTTAAAGTGACCTCAGTATACTCATCATTGTTTATATTCTTTATGCTCTTTACAGTGAAGACTTCAGCCGGAGATAAAAGTGTTTTTAAAAGGTTTRTCTGACAGATGTGGTCATCCAGGTCGACGTAGAAACAAGATTCGATTTTTAAAACCGTTTCTCCTTCCACATCTCCGAGGCTTTCGAAGTCTGAGTGGACCAAGGTGAAACTAGTAAATCTCACCTTGGAGCCTTTTAATGGCATTTCCTTTTGGTTGTCCATGAAAGCAAACATGCTTTTGCACATTTGACTCTGGTTCAGCATCATCATGGAATCTGTAAGCAGAAAATGAAGGGACTTGAAATGGAAGTTGTTTTCGTAGGTGGTAATGTTTGCTCCCATTGTCTCCACGGCTTTGCTAAGTTCCTTTAAAAAGTCTGCATTCCCAAAGTGGAGGACTGAAAGTGCAGCAGTGTGGTCTTTAGTTCCTCCAGGGATCAGAGCGGAACATCTGGAATTAGCGTTCCATGCTCTCTGGAACGCCTCAGTCATGTTGAGCTCTTGTTTTAACAAGTCGGGGATGAACTTCTCTTTGGCTTCTTCATGACATCCATCATACAGATCATCCACAACATCCAGGGACATATTCAGTGGTTTCACAATAACATCAGTCACCTTTAAATAAATGAAATAGTTTTACTCACAAGGGCTTTAAAACATTGTTATCGTGTGACAAATGACACTTACGTGGCTGTGGATAGTGCTGTAAATGACTGCAATAAAGAGCAGTTTTCCTCTGTCCAACATTTTGAGACGTCTGTACGAAAAAAGAACAACTTCTTTATTAAAACCAGAGGATGAGATGATCCGAATGTTTGCTGAACAAGTTCAAACAAGTGACAAATTATCTGCTACTGTGTGCCTTCAGGATTCAACATTCTTTCTTGACTGTGGGAATAAAACAAAGCTGAAGTGAAAAGCAAAAAGACACGTACCTTCGGAAAGGAGAGTATTAGCAGTGACTACTTCAGTACGGGGTCCATCAAACTGCAAAGGAGTGATTGTTTTCTCTGTTCAGAGAAGTGAGGCAGCTTATCTGACTGGGCAACGGTTTTCCTGTTTCTGAGGAAGGAAACAGACAAACCTCTGACACAGACCTGCACTTCACTTGTTTATTCCCCTGCTGCTGCTTCTTTCTTTCTTTCTTTCTTTCTTTCTTTCTTTCTTTCTTTCTTTCTTTCTTTCTTTCTTTCTTTCTTTCTTTCTCGTTCCCTAAAGATGTAATATCTGAGGAATGTTTTGAAATTAAGCTGCCTCCCCAATTCTTTCCCCTCCCCTTTTCCATCACAGGGCAACAAATGTTTGAAGGAAAGGGAAATGCAATTTTWTATTTCAAACCATCCATTATTTTTGTTTAATACTCATTCGCATTTAAGTATTTTCAGGGAAGTTGAGTTTGTTCGCTAAGCCACTTAACTCTAACACATTAATTAATAATAAAAAACCTCCTAAACTCAAGGGATGAACCACTGTCAACACATAAAACACAGGTTAGCAAAGAACCCATGAAAATTGGTTCACAAAGACACAATTTGTTCCCATTTCTTTAAATGATTTAAAAAGACAACAGTATTTTAATACCAACAAGGTGAATCCTGCTGAGCTGAAAACTTAACCTGCAGTAAAGATCTACAGAAAGATAATCAGGTCTTTGCTGGACTGTTTCTTATGGAAGCTGAGAGTGGCTGTTTCTAATTATTTTCCAAGGTTTTCTCATGATAACGGCGTATTATGTCGTTATCACAAAATAACAGAATTGTGTGTCATTTTTGTACCATTACACCAACTGAAATTGCAGTTTTTGTCTTGTACAGATAACTTTGGCATTTAAGGAGACGACTGGCCCGACTGCTGATCAGCAGGTGTTTACACAGTGATCTTGCTGATAATAAACTTTATCGTGACCAGCTGGGGGGATAGAGCCATCTCCGTGGTTGCTGAATGATGTACAGAAAATCACAATTCGTTATCTCAAGAAAACCATCTAGAAATTAACTCGTTGTCTCGTCAAGATGGTCCTCCTTATTTTGTGATATCGACAAAATTAACTTGTTATCTCGAGAAAACGTTCCTGTTATTTTGATAACGACATTCGTTATCACAAGAAAACCATGGGGGGGATAATTAAAATGGCCGCT